CTGCTCAGCTGGGTGAGGTGCTGGGTGAAGGCTTCCCTGCTCAGCTGGGTGAGGTGCTGGGTGAAGGCCTCCCTGCTCAGCTGCTGCTGCTACTTTGCCTCCATAGCGCCCTGTTCTTCTCTTGCGGGCGCTGCAGTGCAGTGGGCATTCAATGACCGCTTTCTGTGTTTTTAAATGGAACTTGCGGAGTAGGAGAAAAGGGAAAGTTTCAGCTAAAAAATAGTACACAAAAAATGTATCCGTATCTAGTTCCATCACATTAATGCAGCCAACCGTACTTTATGGGTTAGGTACTCCCTCCTCTGAGGCTTGAACCCAGAGCTTTTATGCTGAGTTAGTTACACACTCAGTCAATTTTATTATTTGAGATGGGGCCTTGCCAAGCCACTGAGCTTGCCCAGTCTGGGTTTGAACTTGTGTTCCTCTTGCCCCTCAGCTTCTCAGGGTGCTGGGATTACAGGTGTGTGCTGCCACGCCTGGCTCACACATGGTTTTGTGCTGTTACATTCCTGATTTAGGTGTCATATGGGGTTCTCTCTTTTTTTAAACAACATTTTTTTTGTAAACACATTCCTATATTTTTACATGTTTTATCATATTTTTATTGGTTGTACGGTTTAAGTTTTGTATCCATTCCATTACATATAGGTTATTTTCAGTGGTTTTAATTTTTAATTTTTATTTTGCGATAGGGTCCTGCTAAGTTACCTAGGTTAGGGTTGAATTTGTTTTTTTTTTTTAAATTTTATTTGTTTATTTATGTGTGTGTGTGTGTGTGTGTGTGTGTGTGTGTGTGGTCAGCTCAGCCCACCAGGGGGCGGGGCTGGCTGGCATGTGGTGCTGGAGATTGAACCTCGGTCCCTGTGCTTTGCTTAGCTTAGCTTGTTCTAAGTAGGTGCTTTAGATCACTGAGCCATCCCACCAGCCCCATAAGCTTGTTCTAAGTAGGTGCTCTAGACCACTGAGCCATCTCACCAGCCCCTAGGGTTGAATTTGTGATCCTTCTGCCTCAGCCTTCTAAGAGTGCTGAGATTATAGACATAATACCACTACATTTGGATATTTACTTTCTTTTGATACTGAAAATAATGCTAGAGATGTTTTTGGACAACTTTTTGTCTGAGTTAGTTTTCTGAGATAAATATCTGTTGAGGATACTTTTTTGTTGTTGTTTTTCATGTTTTATTTATTTATTTTTTTGCAGTACTGGGGATTGAACACAGGACCTTGCGCCTGCCAGGCAGGCACTTATGCCATTGAACTATCTTCCCGACCCTGTTGTTATTTTGAGACAGGGTTTTGCTGTGTAGTTCAGGCTATCCTCAGACTCACTGTGATTTCCCTGTCTCAGCTTCCCACATACTAGCATGTGCCACCAAGTCCTGTAGGTATACATTTTTTAGAGTTTCATATATTGCCAAAAGAATTACTTATAGTAAAAATGACTTGGAAACTGGAAAACAAACAAACAAAAACAGCTAATCTAGGAATATGGGGGGCCGGGAATATGCCTGTTTCTGCATAGCTTTTTTTTTTTAAATGTATTTGGTACATGGTCTCACTACACAACTTGGACTCGTAGTGATTCTCCTGTTTACAGCCTCCTAAGTGCTGGGATTACATGCGCACATCACCACGCCCAGTCTCAATTGCTGGCTCAGCACGCCCTGGGGGTTGCGCCCAGCGATGGAACCCGTGGCCACTTTCAATCCGTTGAGCTATTTGGCTGGCCCTCCTTACAGCTTTTTATTTTTTTATTTTTTTTTCTTACAGCTTTTTAAATGTCCAGAGTTTTTATTTTTTCACTTTTATGTTGGTATTTTATTTGGTACTTATTATTTTTACCTGAATTTTGAAAAATTGCTATTGAAGTTGAATTCCTTTTTTCATGATTTTGATTACTGTTTGGTTAAATATCTGTTACTGTCCATAGTACTGTTTTATAGTATAGGAAATACATTAGCATAATGTTCACTAGCCAGACTGTGTATTATTACTTAAATTATGTGTCTTGGGCACATCGTTTAATTCTTACCCTCACATTCTCATAAAGTCCTTCAGGGGAAGGAGCATTGTAAGGCCTAATGAGAGCCCAGGTAGAAAGAGAGGACTTTGTGTAGTTGCATACGTTATGAACCCTCAGCAGAGTATGATTTTATTTTTTAAGCATCTGAGGTTAAATTGACTTCCTGTAATATAATTTGAGATTTGAATAAAAAAAATCTTTTTCTTTTTGTGCTACTATGGAAGTACTTTATTATGTGAATTTTTAAACTGAAAATGTTAAATTTACTTTGAAAATGAAATAAAAGGGAATATATTTTAAAAATATATATGAAGAATTATCATTTCTTGATGATCTGTAAGTTAATGGCACTATTTTGCTAGTTGCCTTCAGTACTTGACTACTTGCAATCGTGCTAAGAGATATAATTTAGTTTTTTATGTTTTTGACGGAACTGGGGATTGAACTCAGGCCCTTGTGTTGCCAGGAAAGTGCTTATTCTACTGAGCCATCTCCCTGGCCCCAAGAGATACTATTTTAATTCTTATTTTCTAGGTGAGAAAGTAATTAAAATCAGGATTTAAAAAATCTTGTTGACGGTCATATACTTAACATTGATATAAAGACTTTTAAGGTAGAGGTAACTAATTGGGCCAGAGCTAATACTTGGGCCCCTCTTTGCTTGTTACTCAAAAAGAAGAAATTCTTTAGCTACGAGGAGTAAGACTGCCATTTATTTAATTTGATTTTTCTGTGTCATGGAGATTGTACCCAGGACTTGGAGCATGCCAGGCAAGTGCTCTACCACTGAGCTATGTCTCTGACCCTAATTTTGTTTTTGAAACAGTCTCAATAAATAGTCCAGTCTAGCCTTGAATTTGACACCCTCCTGCCTCAGTCTCTCAAGTAACTGGGTTTATAGGTGCACACCACCATTACCAGCGTCTGTTTCTATAAGTCATCAGACTTTTGGATATCATTTCCCAGGAAACCACTCCTGTTCCTCATTTAAAGTTTTTTATAGACTTTTTTCCATCTTCAGAACTAAGTGGTTTCCTGGTTGGCGCTTGGTGACTGGTACATTTAACTTTTGTTTGGGTAAGCCGAGAACCAGTCTGTTTCATCTTCAGCCCCATCCCCTTTCCCTTTAAACACCCTAGCAATAGTAGCTGCTTAATAGTTGAAGTGAATTTGTTCAGTGTATTTTAAAATAGGTTTTTGAGGCAAGATTGTCTGATTGTTTTTGATAGGAATCCTGCAAGATGCTGAATTTAAGAGAATATTATGAGAGGGCATTGAGAGAGTTTGGATCTGTGGATTCTGGTAAGTAATCTTTGGTTATAGACATTGGCTTGTGGGCTGGGGATATAGCTCAGTGGCATATGAGACGGTGCACCAGCCTCCCTCCCCTCCCCCCAGGGCTGGCTGA